GGTGGTGGCTCTCTGGTTGGTGATGGTGGTTGGTGGTGGCTCTCTGGCGCCCTTGGCTTTCACCCCACGTGGCATCTCGTGTGTGTGTGTACGTGTTCCCCAGCTAACAAGGGCACCTGTTACCCATTTCCCTCTTTATAAGGCCCCTCCTAATGACCTCATTTTAACTCCATCCCTTCGTTAAGATCCTGTCTCCAAACTAAGGTCACATCATAAGGTGCTGGGGTTCAGGATTTCAGCATGAGTGTTAGAGGACACGGTTCCTTGCTGACCTGAGCACCGATAGCTGCTCCAGCCGAAGGCTTGGGCCTCCTTATGTCCACTCACTGACAGTCTTATGTAGGGTGCCGCTGCTTTCCAGAATAACCCCGAAATACTAAACCTCTGCGGTCAGCCAAGCTGAGGGTTTCTCCCCTGTGCCCGCCGGGGCCTGCTGCAGGATTGGCAGCTTGCAGTGGGGAGTGGGCGTTGTTGGCTTCCATCCGTGTTCTGCCTTTGTCCCCCCACTCCTGCTGATTGTGACCCTGACGGGATGAGCGTTTGGGCGAAGGCTAGGACGTCTGCATGGGGCAGAGCTGCACCTGTGGTTCCTGCCGCGGGGCCCTGTCCCCCCGCCGACCCTCCCTCCACACACCCTGGGCCCCCGCTTTCAGCCTCCCTGCTGGTTGCTATCACCCCGTCGTGCGGAACTCTGTCCTGAAGCAGTCGTGGAGGGCCACCCTGTGCAGCAGTCTCCTGCGCAGCCTGATGTGGTTCATGGGGAACAAGCACCTTGGCCATCGGCGTGAAGTCTTCTCCCAGTTCAGCCGTTTAAACTTCACCAGCCCTGGTACCTTGGGAAGGACGTGTCAGGCTAGAGTCCTTTCCAGTCTCTCCGTCTCCTCAAATGCAGGGGCTGCCAGTCCCGCTCTTGGGGCAGCCGGGCTTGACGTCAGGGCATCTCTGTCCTTCGTGGGCAGAGGTGGGAGCGGACACATGGCCACCTACGCTCTCCTGCTACCTGCCCTCTTGGTGCCTTGACAGGTGCTGCTTGATTTGATTTGTTTTTAGTACTTTTCTTAGATGTAATTGACACACGACATCCCTTGGTCTCAGGGACCCGCTACGCATCAACATTTGTGAATACTGCGAGGGGACCACAAGGAGTCCAGTAGACGTGTGGGCCATATGCAGGGATGGTTTTTCTTCCTTGTGGTGACAATCTCTAAGATGACTCTCCACAGCCTTCACATGCGGTGCGGTATTGACCGCATTCACCGCACCACGTGGTGCGTCCTGGCGACTTGCTCTGTAGCTCTGTACCTGCTACCGCCCTTCCCTGCCCACATGCCTCCCTTACCTGCACCGCGCGGTGGGTGGGGGGCTCCCAGGCTGGTGGGCGTGGCCCAGCTGGGGTGCGGGCAGAGTCAGGGCTGGGGCGGGAGGGATGGCGTTGTTCACAGAGGGGCGCGGACGAGTGGGCACTTGAATCCCAGGCAAGGGCGTCGCGTTCGTGGATGTGAGCACTGACCTCGGGAGCTTCCCTGGATCACAGTTCACGTGTCGACACATCGTGACACGGTTTAATATAGAACCTACTTGCCTTTCTTGTCAATTTGTAGAAATGTTGAGCTGCTTGTTTCTCTAACACATTGGTTGGATTTTCATATTTGGATAAACCTAGTGCAGCTCCCTACTTCTACCCCTGCGACTCTGTCCAGTAGCTCTAGGAATTTCTTCTGGCCGAGAGAGGGGAACGGGCTCGTGTGTGCGCTGCATCCAAAAGCGCGTTGTGTTGTTTTACTCTGCAAAGATCATTCTGAAGATGTGACATAAATACTGGTTCTTTGCTCTGTTTCACTACAATAGCATTCATGCTCTAGCTCAAAGAGGAGTATTTCCCTTCTAAAGTGTATTCTCTCTGTAGAGAGCAGTCAGGTGAGTTCAGGTTTTTATCATTCATAATTTATTGGTCTGTATAGTACAAAGGTATTCCTTTGGCCTTTTTTAAAAACTAGGTAATACTCTGGGTGAGACCACACAGTAGGGACCCAAAGTTGAGAAAACATATAAGGAATTTGAATAGTAAAATCTGATAGGCAAATAAGCAGCACTATTAAAATCAGCCTTTACAGTTAAACTGAAGAAAAAAAAAGTACCAAAAGTCAAGAAAAAGTCCAAAATTACTGGAAGATGGGGAGTTGGTATAGGAAGCAAGCAGTGCAGGTGCGAGACAGAGCTGCTGGGGCAGGCCGGCCCGGGCGCCCGCCCTCCACGCCAGTGCTGGGACGGCCAGAGTGAACCGGGCCGACGCGGGCAGCGGAGCGGACCAGTGAGCCTGCAAGGACGCTTGGAGATGCAGAAACAAATGCAGGAATCCGCGCATTCATGTTAAAGGGGCAAAGAGAGCATCGACTAGATTCCAGGGACTAAGGCGCCCGTGGCTGGAAAGGGGTGAGGTGGCGATGTTAGGAAGCAGGTACCACGTGAAGCAAGCTGGCTTTCGGGCACGGCCTGGCTGATACGTACACACATGGCTAAGCGAGTTTTCTCTTTAGGCTCTTCGGGGAGTCGTGACAGGATCGGTACCTGCTCCTTTGCATGCAAACCTGCACATCAGGTGTGAACGGAGGCGCTGGGCCGGGTGTGGGGAGTTAGGAAACCTTCACCAGCAGGTGGCGTCCCAGCGCACAGTGGGACGCAGCCTTGACCCTCCCAGAGAAGCGGGGCCCGGCCCGCGGGGGGGTCAACACGCGCTCACTCGTCCGAAGCTCCGGGGAAGGAGGTGGCACAGAAACTACGCCATGAAAAACCCTTCCTCTATCCGTCCGTCCGTCCGCTCGCCAGACACTTGGGGCAGGACGGTGGTGGGAGGTCCCCCTAGCGATGGTTAAGACTTGGTCCTTGTCTTGAAGGAACGCGGTTCTCTGGGTTCATTCCTATCTTCCACAAGTTCCTAGCTTCGTGGAAGCACGGCGGGGAGCCCGCAGGGTCATTTACCATCTGAGATCCTGGGTGGTTGTAAAAGTGCTGGCATCGGCCGGCTCAGCGTCCTGGGCTGCTGTGTCCAACCACGAAGGCCACCGAGACTGGGTCCCGATTCCCCAAGCCTCTGCGCCAGTGCTAACGTCTCTCGATCCTCTTGCAGAGAATGTCACCGCTGTGACCTCCAACCATACGAGCCATCCCACCAGCACTGTGAGACAGCCGACGAACCCACAGTCTTCCACATCTAAGACCGAGACAGTCACGGCCTTGATGTCCACGGCAACAGCTAAAATCACAACACCCACGGGCTCCGCAAACAGGACTAACAGCAGCTCAGTTTCACAGAACGCAACCCAGACGATGCCGTCCACAGTGAGCACCACCGCCCGCAACAGCTCGGCCACGTCTGCTTCTTCATCCGTAACGAGTACGTATCAAAGCCGCCCTGTTTGTGCTGAACACAGGTGTCACGTGCCGCATTCCCATTGTCATTCCGTTCCACAAAAATACAAATGCGGATGGGCTGTCCTAGTGCATTCACCAGCGGATCGATCCTGCTGCACTTGTCACTATGGAAAATTCGTTTCCGACTTAATGAGGCCGCATGATGACGGTAGGGGACGTGTCCTAGCAGGGAACTGTCATTACGTGGTTTGAAAGCATGTCCTGCCTGGACCTCCAGGTCCCTGGGTACACGGCAGAACTAGGCAGCATCAGCATCAGCCCCCTGGGTTTCTAAGCCCCAATTGCAGTTAACATGGTTCTCATTCATTTCTGCCATTGAGCTCTTCACGTGGTGTCCGGGGCAAGCCCTGTGGTCAGCCAGCACTGTTCACGCTTTGCATTCGTCTCAAATAAAATGCCTGGGAAACCACGAATTCAGAACCTAAACATTGACCTTTCCATATGTATTCAGAGGTCAGCTTGTGATTACATGTATCAGCACAGGCAGCAGGCTTTATGGCTTCCGCTCCAGTTTTCTTACTATAGTTTATGTTCTGAAATCAACTGTAGTGTCTCAAGGGTTTTTGATGTGATAAAGTCAAAATAGTTGGAAGTCCCCAATTTATTCAAAAGGAGAATTTTCAGTTAGAACCATTCAGACTGGATCCAGCAGCAGGATCACCGCCGTGATGCCCAGGCCTGTAGTGAAGGCATCAACTCTTAGGAGGACCAATGAGGAAACGGATTCCCCACATGGTGCTGCCTCAGGGGCTGTGGTCGAAGGTCGGGGTTCAGCAGCACAAAGACCCTCAGATGCTGGGGCGGCAGCCCCGGGGGGGCAGCTGGGGGGGGCACACGGGGAGAAGACCTGCAGGGGTGGGGGTGGGGTGGGGGAGAAGTGCTGGATCAGCTGGGGAGACCCAGAACCCAGCCATCACTCAACGCAAAGCAGGCTTTCGGCTTGCTTAGAAATTCAGAGTGGCAGCTTATAATAATGTTGTTTAAAAACAACTGAAGCCAATGTTTTGTTTTCTTCCAGTCACACCAACTATTAATTCTAAAGGAAATCCAGGATCAAAATTTGACATTGGCAGCTTTCTTGGCGGTATCGTGTTAACACTGGGGGTTCTGTCGATTCTTTACATCGGATGCAGAACGTACTATTCGAGAAGAGGCATTCGGTACAGAACCATGTGAGTTTTGACTTGCCAGAACTTGTTATTTCTGTACTTCCTTAAATATCACCACGAAATGCCACAACAGGGCCCCAGGTATAGGAATCACATTCCCATTAATCCTGTGCCCAAAGCAGATCATTCATTACTTACAAACACAAATGGATGCACATGCCTATGAAAATGCTGTATTTACTCACGTTGTACCTTTTCACTCAGGCCTGTAAGCCTAACAAACACCTGTTAAGGCCTCAGGAGCTGCAGCCAGTATGTCTGGTGATGTCCACAGCACGGAGGTATATCCTTGCTAGAAACATGGTTTTAAATGCTAATGCGGTCTCGTTTTCTCTGATGACTTGTTATGAATGAGTTAACAGATGGCATCATCTTACCAACAAGGCCACCTCGGGGGCCCACGTGCGCCCCTTCCACAGGCCTATAGGTCTTGGAGGGCTCATCTCCTAGCTTCTGTTTCTGAGTCCTTTTTGGGCTTTTTGACCGTTACTGGATTACAAGAGCCAATTCACTGTTTTGACTGTTAACATAGCACAGACTCCCCAGAATGACTCTCCAGAGGACACACACGTGTGTCCCACACGAACTTTACACATCAGATGGATCTGGAACTGATTTAACAAAGTGAAACAGGTTTTACTTTACTACAGAATTCTCTAAGACTTGGAGATGTTGGTGCTTGTTGTGAGTTTCCAGGAGGGAACAGAACATGAAAGTATTTCTCAAATTTATCATCGAACTAAAACACACCAGGCTTTAACAAACTCACTTTCAAGTGTTTTGCCAGCATATTTGGAAACATTCTTTAATCAACCCACGAAGGAAACAGACTAGAGTTAACTTGTTAGGTATCCTTCTGTGTTTCTAGAAGTATTTATCGTGTTTTTGGTGAATTTCACCAGTTAAACAGAAGGTACATTTTGATCAGTGAATTCAATGCCACTTTTTTCATAGTATCAATGTTTATTGATGTAAAGGAGGCTATAAAATAGTGAAGCAGGTAAGTTGTGTTTTCATTTCAAATTGCCATGACTACGCAGCATGTTATTTTAGCTTCTGTGAGCTCATGGCCGTGTCCGGCTGCCCGGGGGATGCATGCAGTGCCCAGGAGCACCCCCTTCTGCACAGGGGACACGGCAGCAGCAGACTCACCCCACCGGGAGTCTGTTCCACAGGCACAGAGAGGATCCCGTACTGAGTCTACACGTTGTTCTGACTTTTCCCCACGTTAACCTATCTGAAGTTAGGACGTTTGCTACAGTTTGTGGGGTGAAAAAGCATTGTGTTGTAGTTCATTCGGCCGTTTTTCCTAGTGCATTTAAAAGCCAGGAGTTGGTTCGATGTTGGGAAGTTCTTACACCGTGCAGTATTTTGTTTGTCCCATGAAGGAAACTGAGGCCTTGCGTATCTAGGAGTGAGCACTAACCCGTTAACAGCTGGGCCAGTGGAGCGCAGCGTTTACGGATGGGCTTGGTGCTCAGTGTGGACACAGCAGGGGACAGTCCCACACTGCCTTAGCTTCCAGTCCTCGGTGAAATGGGACGACGAAGTGATGGAGTTGATTACATGAGATACAGGTGGAGTCTACTGCACCTAACGCGGAGTAAATGTTCAAGGAATCGTAGGTGCTGGGGTGGGTGATTTAGAAGGTATTATGCTGAGCGAAATAGAGATCATATGACCTCACTGATATGAGGAATTCTTAATCTCAGGAAACAAACTGAGGGTTACTGGAGTGGTTGGGGGTGGGAGGGATGGGGTGGCTGGGTGATAGACATTGGGGAGGGTATGTGCTACGGTGAGCGCTGTGAATTGTGCAAGACTGTTGAATCACAGATCTCTACTTCTGAAACAAATAATGCAATATATGTTAAGCAAAAAAAAAGAAGATAGCAGGAGGGGAAGAATGAAGGGGAGTAAGTCAGAGGGGGAGACGAACCATGAGAGACGATGGACCCTGAAAAACAGACTGAGGGTTCTAGAGGGGAGGGGGGTGGGGGGATGGGTTAGCCCGGTGATGGGTATTGAGGAGGGCACGTTCTGCGTGGAGCACTGGGTGTTATGCACAGACAATGAATCATGGAACACTACATCAAAAACTAATGATGTAACGTATGGTGATTAACATAATAAAATTCTATAGCTAGAGCAGAGGTCTGAGTGTAAATCTGCTTGAATCCTTAGCCGTACAAAGTTTACATAAAGGACAATGTTGATCCTAGAGCTTTAAGTTACTTAAAAATTAGATAAAAAACCGTTCTGATGCAAATACAAAACAGTAATTTTAACAATTTTAACTTTTGATCTATTACAGTGATGAACATGATGCCATCATTTAAGGAAACCCAAGGACCCATGGAAAGAAGATTGATAACAACCCTATCAATTAACTTTAGTTATTCTTGAATACACAGGCCATGCATATAATGTACTATAGAAACATGTAGATTCCTCACTGTTACTAAAGGTAAAAAGGGTTTGGTTTGGGTTCTTTAAATGAGTATTTGAAGCATATAGTTAATGTTAAAAAACACCTATTAAGACAAGTCCGCCCCTTCTGTGTGGCACTGGTCACACGGGGGAGTAACTGGAAGGCCTCCTCCCTGAAGGGCGCAGTGCCCTCTGAGCCCACAGATACGGGCCTTGGGACGGTCACACAGCTTGTACAGCTGAGTACTGGGTTCAGAAACAAAAGGCACTGCCTTCAGGTCCTGCTAGAGAGCCTGGGTTCTTGTTACAACCTCTTTTGAGCTTTCAATGGCAATTCAGCTAAGTATTTTTGCGTCTGTAATTTCAGTAAACTGCAATGTTGAACAAAGTTTTAAAGATGGAGTTAGGTTTTTTGCTACTGCGAGACTACTGGAAATTGCTTTATTTCATATGCAACAGTTAATTTTATGTTTAGGGAATATTTTTAAGAGGTGTAGAGCTTCTTTCAGTAGCTAGGATCCTGTATGATGCAGTGTCAGCCTACCTACCTTACGCCCCCTTCTGCAATTTCCAGACAACCTGTAGGGCTCGGTCCCTCAGCCCAGGGAGGACGGCCTCCACCTGCAGGAGGCCAATGCTGCATTTTTATACTAAAGAAATCTTTGTATTGGGATTAAATTCTTAAGTTTTTAAAACAAACTTTCAGGCCCCTTGTGTCCCGTGGAGGGGACTCGGCTGTCTTACGGTAACAGCACGGTGTTCAAGGGACACCCGTGTCCATCAACATCGGTCTGAGGGTTTGGCTTATAGTTGATACTACAGCAGCCAAAACTCAGGGTCAAGTTTGGCAAAAAAAAAAAAAAGTATTTAGTCCTACTAAATGACCAGCCAATATAGAAATACTATATTAGATGTCCTAATGACACTGCTCTGCATTGAATAGGACTTAAGTGTAACCTGTGATCAGCTTTTCATTTTCAGAGAATGCCAAGAATTTTTATATAAAAGTATCATTTCTACTCACTGTGCACTAGGGCCCACTGAGGTGAAGAGCGGGTGACAGGGCAGGTCTGAGGCGCACGGTGGGCCCCCAGTTTACAGAGAGGTGGGCTGCTTAGTAACCTACAATGCACCTGCCTGGTCTCGAACTGCTTTTATGTCTTTGCAAAATACACTTATGCTACAAGTATATGCTTCTGTCTTACGATGGGGGCCTTTAAACTGAACTTCTTCCATCTCTTGCTGGCTTTACTCCCGTCAGAACCTTGAAGCCAGGCCTGTTTCTGCAGCACGTGGAAGAAATGTCTTTAAACCCCTTTCCAGCTGCCTATGCTTTGGGTCTAAAAACTGCCTTCTCTGTCTGGAAGCTGGATCTTCGTTCCTTCCCGCCCCCGCACAGAAACGCGGAAGTGGGGGCACGAACCACTGCTCCCCCAGGGCGCACATTTCCTAAGCCTGTAATTCATGTCCTAATTATGTTTACTTCAGCAGATACTCGCTTCTGTTTGCGTTCCTTGAGAATGTATTTACTTGAAGAGCTCTTAGAATCCAGTCTAGGACTTTAGATGATCCAAAACATGAGGATTTCCCATACAGATAAATGAGTGGGCAATATATTAAGAATTTTGTATTTTTCAGGAGAAACACTTTTAAAGCAAATTCCTTTTTTTTATTATAATGACCAGCTTTTGGTATTCCATTGTTACTGAGATCTATTTTTAGAATAAAATTTTGTTCTCCATCTAAGAGTTTTATGTGTGTGGTTTTGCTTCATTTCCTCAAACTCGAGAGAAATGAAAAGCCCCAACTAAAGAGGCATACTTTAGGTGTGAGGTGTGGCTGGCTGGACCCACAGTATCACCTGGAAACTTGGTAGAAGCAGAAATTCGTCAGCACCACCCCAGAGCTCCTGAATCCATGTTCCAACACTCCTACCTGGTGGTTTTCTGGAACAGCAACGTTTTTCTGTCGGGTAGAAAGAATTATAAAAACAGGTACATTCATGTTAGAAATACACATCAGCTACAAGTACCTCAACAATGGACAGACCCGCACAGCAAGACGGAGGGTGTCCCCCGGTGTGGCCTCGACCACTGGGGACCCGAGACCGAAGCAGGGGGCTCGCAACAGGCATCACTTGGTCTGGAGAGGGCAGAGAGATGTCCCACCTGCAGAAGCGGGGGCGGGGGATGCTGTCCCCACTGGGACCTGCTGCAGCTCTGCCCCGTTTCGGTCCTCAGAAGAACCTCACTGGCCCTGGAGCCTGGTCTATCCCTGCCCAGGCAGGGGGGCTGAGCCACAGTGTGGCCGCCGCCACAGCCCGGCCACAGCTGAGAAGAGCTCTACCAAGACCGAATCCACAAGTAGAAACTCTCAACAGACCAGTTAGGAGTAAGGAGACTGAATCAGTAATCAAAAATCTCCCCATAAAGAAAAGCCCAGCACCAGATGGTTTCACTGGTAAATTTAACCGAAGGATTAATGCTAATCCTTCCCAAATTCTTCCCAAAAACAGAGGAGGGAACACTCCCAAACTCTTTTTTAAAAGTGACATCATGAGCTCAGGAGTCACAGGCCCTACTGACTGAGGCAGCCAGGGCCCCCGCCCAAAACTGATTTTTAAAAGCCAGCATCACCCTAATACCAAAGCCAAAAAAGGACAAACCAGAAGACTTGAAGGTAAATCCCTCATGAATATAAATGCATTTTTTTTACCCAACAGAATTCAGCCCATTGACAGGATCACTCATCCCTGGGATGCAGGGTTGGTCTGACATGTGCAAACAGATCCGTGTGATACACAGCAGTAACAGACTGCAATCACACGGTTTTGGTTCTTCTAGACACAGAAAAGCAGCTGACAAAATTCAACATCTGTTCATGATAAAACCTTACATATGGAAGGAATAGCCTTCCATACAGTGAAGTCCCTGTAGGACGGGCCTCCATTGGTCCTCAGAGTCGTACGTCAGGGTCAGGAGGGAGGCGGGGTATAACCACAACTCCACACAGCACGAGAAGTCCTAGCCACAACAGTCTTTATTTGCACACGACATGTTTTCATAAACACAAAATCTTAGAGACTCCACCAAAACCTGTTAGAGCTAATGGATCTACTCAGTAAAGCTGCAGGGTACAAAAACCAACATTCCAAGAGCAGCAGTATTTCTATGTACTGATAACAAAGTATCTGAAAAATAAAGACGATCCCATTTACAACAGCATCAAAAACAAAATACTTAGGACTAAATGTAATCAAAGAACTGAAAGATCTCTACCCTGAAAACCACCAAATATTGGTGAAAGACACTGAAGATATAAGTGGAAAGGCACCCTGTGGGATGGTACAGTTTACACTAACGAAGCCCATTAATTTGTAGTCCTCTGAAACCCGGGGCCAATCCTACCTTTCCAACCTCGTTTCCCATTATTTACCTTTGTTTTCCAAAAATGCTTCATGCATTTGTCTTTCTTCATAGTTCTTCCTCTGCCTGGAAAATACTTCCTAATACCTCTGTTCTCCAACTCAGCATACTCTAATCCTATTTAATCCTCAATATACCCAGTTGTAGACACATAGATCAATGGACCAGAACAGAGCCCAGAAATGGACCCTCAACTCTATGGTCAACTCTTCTTTGACAAAGCAGGAAAGAATGTCCAATGGAAAAAAGACAGTCTCTTCAACAAATGGTGTTGGGAAAATTGGACAGCCACATGCAGAAGAACGAATCTGGACCATTTCCTTACACCACACACAAAAATAGACTCAAAAAGGATGAAAGACCTAAATGTGAGACAGAAATCCATCAAAATCCTAGAGGAGAACAGAGGCAGCAACCTCTTCCACCTCAGCCACAGCAACTTCTTCCTAGAAACATCGCCAAAGGCAAGGGAAGCAAGGGCAAAAATGAACTATTGGGACTTCATCAAGATAAAAAGCTTTTGCACAGCAAAAGAAAGAGTCAACAAAACCAAAAGACAACCGACAGAATGGGAGAAAATATTTGCAAATGACATATCAGATAAAGGGCTAGTATCCAAAATCTATAAAGAATTTATCAAACTCAACACCCAAAGAACAAATAATCCAATCAAGAAATGGGCAGAGGACCTGAATGGATATTTTCCCAAAGAAGACACACAGATGGCCAACAGACACATGAAAAAGTGCTCAACATCGCTCGGCATCAGGGAAATCCAAATCAAAACCTCAATGAGCTACCACCTCACACCAGTCAGAATGGCTAAAATTAACAACACAAGAAATAACAAGTGTTGGTGAGGATGCGGAGAAAGGGGAACCCTCCTACACTGTTGGTGGGAATGCAAGCTGGTACAGCCACTCTGGAAAACAGTATGGAGGTTCCTCAAAAAGTTAAAAAATAGAACTACCCTGGGATCCAGCAATTGCACTATTAAGTGTTTACACAAAGGATACAAAAATGCTGATTCAAAGGGGCACACGTAGCCCAATGCTTATAGCAGCATTATCAACAATAACTAAATTATGGAAAGAGCCCAAGTGTCCATCGACTGATGGATAAAGATGTGGTATATATACAATAGAATATTAGCTATAATAAAGAATGAACTTGCCACTGGCAATGACATGGATGGAACTAAAGAGTATTATGCTAAGTGAAATAAGTCAGTTGGAGAAAGACAAGTGTCATATGATTTCACTCACATGTGGAATTTAGGAAACAAATGAGCAAAGGGAAAAAAGAAAAGAAACTGAGAGGCAAACCAAGAAACAGACTCCGAGAACACACTGATGGTGACCAGCGGGGAGAGGGGTGAGGGATGGGGAAACAGGTGCTGGGGATGAAGGAGGGCACCTGTCGTGATGAGCACCGGGTGATGGACGGAAGTGTTGAATCACTAAATTCTACTCCTGAAACTAATACTACATTGTATGTTAACTATGAATTAAAAACAAAAAGAACTACTTTATTACTACTTTCACTAACATTATTTGAAAAAGTTCCCATAGCACTTACCTGCACTTCTCTTATGTTGAGCCTCAATATCCCGTATGTACACAGCTGCAGCAACATAGTTTATAAGACCTCTCCTATTCTCACAATGCTTACTCTTTTGCACCTCTGTTCCCTTCCAAACCCATCACTCATCCCCATACCTGCCCTTATGCGTTTTCACCTTCAGTGTCTGTAAAACGTACCCCAATTACTCCAAATTATGCTAGAATATGAATTACTCTAGCAATCACAATAGCCTCAAAATGGAAAAGCTTCCTCAAGAGATAGTGAATTCTGGTGGGAACACAATTGTGCGTGTAATCATGTGAAGTGTTATACCCGGTAAGGACAGAGAAAAATCCTTAGTTTCCTTGTAACCTTGAAATTGCTATCATGATTTCTGTTTTTACAGAAAAATCATTGGGTATTTACCTACTGACTTGGAAATAAAGACCTTCGAGGCCTAGTCTAGTGACAAAGTAGCTGGAACATTTGTATCCACACACACGCACACGTACAATACAGAAGACCGTACATTAACGTAAATTAACAGGGATTCCCACTGGAGAGATTCCAAGTCCTTGGGGGAGCAACTGAGGATTTCAACATTTTACTTTATATGCTGATCCTGATTGCATCTTTCTCAAGTGTCTATTCCAATTCTACCTGGCCTTTAAACATTTTTTGAAGATTTTATTTATTTATTCATGAGAGACAGAGAGAGAGAGAGAGAGAGAGAGGGGCAGAGAGAGAAGCAGGCTCCCGCGGAGCAGGGAGCCTGATGCGGGACTCGATCCCAGGACCCCGGGATCATGACCCGAGCCAAAGGCAGACGCCCAACCATCTGAGCCGCCCAGGCGCCCTCTACCTGGCCTTTAAAACACAACAGCAGCCCCACCACTGGGAGGAATGCAACGCTAGGACTGCGTTTAGGCTTCCGGATGGACCACTGCCCTGCCGTTAGCAGAGCCTGCTGAGAGAAGAGCTCCCAGGTGCGGACCCACATTCGATCCCCCTTCACCTTGTGACCAACAGGAGGGGCAGAAACTGACCCTCAGAGAAAAGCTGAGGAGCAGAGCAATAAAGGGCTGGCCAAAGCCTTCTTACTTAGAGGAAACCCCGGCTCCTCTCCCCTTACACACTGGGCCGCGCCGCCACGTGGCCGACAAGGTGTGACCAGAACTGTGAGGATTAAAAAAGCTCCAAGGACTCACAGCTTGAAACCTGTCTGGACGCCATTACCACCGGAAAGATCACAGGGCCTAGCAAAAATATGAATTGTTGTCACGGTCTCTTCCCATTTCTGCTCAGCTAACCCACGTATCCCAACACAGCAACTAGACAGTACAGTCCACTGCGGGTTTGTGGGCCCAAAGATAACACCTGTTTGACCCACGTTCAGGACTAATAAGGGACGCAAGTAGTCAACACAGGGAGATGAAAATGTCTCCGTCGTTCCTGATAAAGACTTTGGACAACAGAGGTGGGAGCTTCCGAACACCAAATCCCAGAAGGAAGCCTTTATCATCAGTGACTGAAAATACTGAAAGCCCAAGCACGTCGCAGAACGACAAACCGCAGGCGCCCTGGCTCCCACAGAGCCAGAACAGGAAGACAGGGCTCAACTACCCAAGGCTCCCCCCGAAAGCACCGAGACTGGACAGCTGCACCAAGAGAATGTGATGGAAGAAACACCACGGAGGAGAACACCTGTCCCCTCCCAGCCCAGTTCTTCCGGGATTAATCTGTGAAGAGCAGGACTGGCCGTTACCACTCACGGGATCTGCGGGGTCCGAGGGCCCCAGACCCTGTGGGGGCTCTGACAACTCTCACTCATGTGCCGATCCCGCAGCGCGATCTCGGCCGTTGGCCGGCCGGGGTCCGCGTCAGGGGTCACGTGCACCAGCGGCCACGGCCATCCCTGCCCCAACTCGGTAAAAACACAGACACCGCCCCCCAAGAAGCACAGGATGAAAACGCGGCCTAAGGCTTCCATCACACCTGACCCTCAAGCGCCCGTCGCTTTCATATTACAGGACAGAAAGGGAGGCACTTCTAAGTCCCGCTTCAGACCGAATGGGGTTACGGAAAAGCAGCTGCGTGACCAGCCAGCTGAACAGCAAAGCACGGGTACTTAAAAGCCGGGCAGAAAAATACTGGCACACATGTAAGCAGCCGTCAATTTCTCAAGGTGACTGTGAGCAAAACCGACCGTGGGTGTAGCTAATGAGAAAAATCCAATTTTTAAGCTAACATTAACATTTTACAAAACTTGAGAGCCTCCTGATCCTTAGACTTGCCCTGACAATACCAATGGGGAGAGTCACAGCTGTGATTTTTTGATAATGAGCAATGAAATGTATCAGCCGCACAATTCAGTAAAGGGGTATTTTCCAAATGACTAATGCATCATGGGTAAAAGAACCAGTCAAAGTGCTAGACTCACCAAGGAATCTTAATGCATTTAACCCTTAACACGGGTTTGATTGTCACTGGTCTACTTAGAATATGGATTTTTTTTCAATGATTATATAAATGTACACTATCAATATAGTACAGTATTGTAAATGTATTTCCTTAGTTTTTTAATTAAAACTTTGCTCTAGTATTCTTTAAGAATACAGCACATAATATACAGAACATACAAAATATGTATTAATCAACTGTTTATCAGTAAGGCTCCAGTCAACAGTACACTATTAGTAGTTAAGTTTCGGGGGAGTCAATAATTATACACAGATTTTCACCTGTGTTGGGGGACTGGTGCCCCTAACCCTCGTGTTGTTCAAAGGGCCCACTGTGTAAGAGAAAACAGTAAGATCGCCTGGGTGGCTCAGTCGTTAAGCATCTGCCTTCGGCTCAGGTCATGATCCCAGGGTCCTGGGATCGAGTCCCGCATCGGGCTCCCTGCTCGGCGGGGAGCCTGCTTCTCCCTCTGTCTCCCACTCCCCTGCCTGTGTTCACTCTCTGTCAAATAAATTAAAAAATCTTAAAAAAAAGAAAACAAAAATAGTAAGATCACTTAACAGTTAAAGGATTAGTGGTTGCTAGGGGTTAGTGGGGAGGAAGGGATGAACAGAAGGGACGGAATTTTAAGGCAGTGAAACTCTTCTGTATGTTACAATCTCACAACCCTGAGACCATGACCTGAGCCGAAATCAAAGAGTTGGACACTTAACTGAGCCACCCAGGTGTCCCAGGAACTCTGTACTTTCTGTTCAATTTTGCTGTGAACCTAAAATAGCTCTTAAAAAATGTATAAATTAGTAAGTTTTTAAAATTTAATTTAAACTTAAATTTTTTTAAGACCATTGACATTTTAGACTCCACACAAAATACCTTTCAAAAGTTTCAGTGTAACATCAAAAAGAATATCCAATTACCTGAAAAATTCTCCTTCCTTTTCTAAATACATACTTCTGAGAAGCTGAATTTTCTTCATATACTGGAACCAAAGCCAACATATTACAAAAGATGCAGAAGCAGATATAAGAATCCAGCTGTCTTCTATTAAGCCAGACATCAGAGCTTTGCTAAAATTTATATCAATGCCATTCTTCTAAATTTTCTACATCGTTATTTTTCTTGAGAAGGACTACATTAACATGTACTGCCATTGCTTTTTTTAAAGGAATGTGTCTTAAATGAATTCTTAAGTATTTTAAAAATCTGCTATAATTTCTACCTCGGTAAGTAAGTATCGGTAGATACAACCCATGTGAATACAAGCTCTTTGGGGTCCTCGGGAATATTTAGGGCTGTAAAGAAACTCTTGAGACCAAGACGTTTAAGAGTTGCTACTATGCATTAGGAGGTTTCTTCCATATAGAAGAACACTTCTGAAAACAATGTCCATCTGTCTGCAGAGTTGACAGCCAGTTGTCCTCTGACTTACAGGATGGGGGTCAACAAGTAAAGGGCCTGGGCGGCTGGTGTGGACAGGAAAGTGCCCTGCTCAGCTCCGGGACTTGGCTCTCTTTAGAGAGAGTGTGGGGAACCCCTGGGCAGAAGCAAGAGACCTAACAAATGACTGACTACACAATTCCCATTTATATCAAGGTAAAGAATTAAGAGCCATATATTATTTTCAAACGTAAGTAAAAAAAAAAAACCTGAAGGTGTAGTTGAACAAGAGATGAAAATTTTAAGAAGTACTTCAGACTCCCTTTCATCTTGACCACACACAGCTGACCCAATCACTTACCTTCGTGCAGCCCAAAGTCAGCCCATAACTTCACACTCCCCCAAAACTCGACTGTATAGCCTCCTACTGACCAAGAGCCTTTGAGGTTCAACCATACTATTCATAGACCACCAGCTAGCTCTCCAGCAATCTGCATCAGGTCACTGAGCCTAAATCTGCACATTAACACGCATCCAAGGAACACAATAAATACACCTAAAGGAGCATCTGACAATCGCCTACTGGTTCAACACCACGAATACCTGTTACGACAGATTCTCATTATGAGGAGCGTAAGAGAGACTAAAACCCTACTCTCTGATCTAGGCAGACGATTCAGCAAGGGGATAAAATATGTCACCGTTTACTTCTATTCCATGCAGTATTCTCACTGAATGCAAAAAATAAAAAAAAGTTCTTACACATTATGAAAACCAACTAGCTGAACAAAGCCAAGTAAGGTAAACTTTCAAATAAATGAAATTCAAATAATTAGGGTTCTTATGCTGGGTAACAGCCCATGCAATTTTTAAAAATATTAACACAGCTTACGAGAAGTTTGTCCAAAAAGCACAAGCTAAGGAGTCGGTAGACCCATGTTCGAATTTTACTTTGTAGTTGCTCAAAGGATGTGGGCTACATGCTTAAAGCCACCAGCACCTGGTACTGGCTATTAGGGCCGCCATGACTCAAGCAGCGGGAATTTAGTTTCTCACCATCTCTGGTGGCTGCAAGTCCGGAGACCAGATGCTGGAAGACACGGTTTCTTCTGAGGCTTCTCAGCCCGGCTTGCTGACGGCCCGATGGCCCCTTCACAGGCTCCTCCCGCTGGGTGTGTCTGGGACCTGTGCTCTTCTCAGGAAGACACCAGTCCTCTCACATTTGGGCTCAGAGGACCTCATTTTGCCTCAGTTAACTCTTTAAAGGCCTTATCTAGAACGGCAGTCACACTCTGAGGTACTAGGGAGATCAGGACTTCAACATATGGATTTGGGAGGCGCAATTCAGCCCATAACCACGGTGGACCCTCAATCAAGCAAAAAGGACAAGTTTCTAAAGTGATTTCATACCTTCTCTCAATTCCTTGAGGGCAGGGAGAACCCTCCCACCGACGCGAGGCCGTGGACCCACAAGTGCATCAGCACCTCACGCTGCAAACAAAGGCAAGGCAAGATCCTGGAGGATGGAGAAACTTTCACTCCTCCCAGGGTACGCTCTACGTAAAGGCACCTAAAGGAGTCACAGGTAAGAAGACACACGGAGTGTTTACTATTTGCTTTCCCCGGGCCTCAGAAGTCTGCTGCGGACCCAGGGGAAGGACGGGGCTGCTCAGGCCCAAGGAGGAGACACGAACCCCTGCCTGTGTCCACCCCCTCTTCCCACCAGCATCTATGCAACAAAGCGATTACACTATTTTTTTTTAATCCCAATGCAGATTTACCTAATTTTAATTTTTAACATGGATTTTACTTATAATACACAAAGCGACTACACAGGTATCTTAAAAGAATTTCATGAATCACATTATTTAAGAACACTTTTTTAAAGATTTACTTGAGAGAGAGACAGAGAACGAGGGGAGGGTCAAAGGGAGAGGGAGAAGCAGGTCCCCGCCGAGCAGGGAGCCCGACACTGGGCTCGACCCCAGGACCCCAAGATCATGACCTGAGCCGAAGGCAGACACTTGACCGACTAAGCCTCCCAGGCGCCCCTAAGAACACTTCTTAGTAATTTGTTTTACGAATTCCACTTTTATTTAACAGCTAACATCTGAGTGCTTACAATACACAGATACAACTGTACAGTAAGTCATTTAACCCTGATATAACCCTATTAAGGCGTGGAGAAAATACTTAAGTCAGGAGGAAAAAAACGATGCAGTCTTTTTAAAGAATTTTATTAAGAGGGTCTCACAAATTAGGGAAAAGCTTATTGACCAGTAAGAAAGAAGTCCTTATTTTAAAACACAAGTGGAAAAACATCAAAGAGAATTTGGCACGGTAAATGTGGTAAACTCCAGTGGTCCTGCCCGGTGTCCAAGTCTTGTCAACTGCACACTCTCAGGTCGTGCTCAAAGCTTCCAGAAGGGACACCAAACCCAGGCCCTTCCGACAGGACACCTCAGGGCACTGAGGCTCCCCCGTAACCTCCCCTGAACTCGCACACGCACACTAACACAGCCCATCACACACAAACCCCCCCTTTGCCTAAACAAAGATTAGGGCACAGGATACTAATGTTCTGAATCAAGACCACTAGTAGCAAAGCAGAATACAACACAAATGTCCTAATTAAAGAACCAATAATTCTTTTATACTTCAGACAGCTTCACGTGTTCAACAATGTGCTAAGGACCTTTATGAGAGAAAGGTACGAACGGTGCCCTTAATTACCCCCCTGCAGATGGGGCATTTTCTCAGAGAGGGGGCACATTCCTGGCACACGACCAGGTGGCCACACGGAATGAACACTATGGAAACTTCTTTGTCCATGCACACTTTACACGTCCTCTCTTCCTGCAGCCTCCTCAACTGCTCTTCCAGCGACAGACCTAGTAAGAACAGACTTCAGTGAAATTTAGTTTCTACTTTAACTCCCATTAAAGAAAAAAAAAGGGTAATATTCCCCATTGGTCTTAAGTCTTCATTTTGTTTTACCTGAAACATCTTCAGTTGGAATATACTTCATGTTCTTGTCCACTGAGGAAAGAAAAACATACAAAAGGCATTATTCTACCAAATATAAGACTACGTCACCCACTACTCATTTCCTTGAGCAACAAAGATGCTAGCTACAGATGAGGAATTACGCAGTCATACTACTGGGGCAATGGGAAGACCTCCCTGTTTTAGAACTAGTTAAATGTACAGACTAGGGTTGGCTAACTGGATTTGTCATTTGTCAAACATAAACATGAACATAATCCCACAGATTTCTGAAATAATTTTACCAGAAACTCACCAAATAACTTCTTATATAAGGTAGAGTCAATTTCTTTTAAACAACTTTTGAAGATGTTGGCAGCAGTGTTTCCTTTAACTAAAACGGTATCAATCAGTTCTCTTGCTTGCAAAGGTATCTGTGTTTTTTGCTTAATGATATCGTGTTCCTGTTTATTAATTACATTGGCCTTTAAAAGATTATCCAGGATAGGAAGCACACAAGTCAACTGTTGAAAGAGAGCCATTCTATTCCTCCGAATTAATGACAAATCATCTTCATTTAAGAAAGAAAAAAGAAAAAAATCCATTAGATTTTAAAGGGCTCCAACTATATACACATAGTCATTAACAACCAGCCCTACAATTTAGGCCCTAAATTAACAGGAGCTTGAAAAAGAAGCATAAAGTTACTTGTTTGCACTTAAATTCACACCCATCATTCAGAAAACTTCTGGAAGATTTAGCTAAGGCATATCATATAGTACACACAACACACAGGGTCTCTGTTTTTGTCATTTCTTAAAGTGGAGATATTTACACAGGTCTTTGAACCTTGCTGTTCCATAGAAAGAAAGCAGAATTTTGAAGGACAGTAAAACTATGGAATTAGTAATACTGACTTCTATTTGCATCCTATCACTATAGTTTTACAAACACTTTCGTACAAACTCCCTTATTTGATACCAAAGATCCTATCACTTGAATAAGGCGGGTATGACTACTTCTCATTTTCAAACACGGAGGAAGAAACCTCAGCACAAGCGACCTCCTCAAAGGGCCAGTCCCCTGATGACATTCTCCCCACCCCGTGCTGAAGGAGCCAGTCCCCTGATGACACTCTCC